CCTTTTAATACGTTTTGGTGCGATTTCCTCCTGCTATTAAAAAAATTAAATGTTTTGAATGGAAAGCTGTATGTAGCTGTAATGTAGTCGTGGCGGGATGAATTTTGGCGTGGCGCCCCGCCATGGAAGAATGAATGTAGCAGAAACCATGAGAAATTATGTAAAATTGCCGCTAAATGAAACGAAATTCAGTCATTAATTTCCAGGTTTAGTCCCTTTATTAATCTGGGGTCGCCACAGCGGAATGAACCGCCAACTTATCCACCATATGTTTTTTTAAACAGCAGATGCCCTTCCAGCTGCAACTCACTTCTGGGAAACATCCATACACACTCATACACTATGAATAATTTAGAGTACCCAATTCACCTGAACCACATCTTTGGACTGTGGGGGAAACCGAAGCACCCAGAGGAAACCCACGCGAATCCGGGGAGAACATGCAAACTCCACACAGAAACGCCAACTGACCCAGCCGAGGCTTGAACCAGCGACCTTCTTGCTGTGACGCAAAAGCACTACCTACTGCGCCACCGCGTCACCCACAAAATGAAATATTTACAAAAATTTTAAAAACCATTTTCTTTCCTCTGACTCCACAACACACATTTTCAATTTAACAGTGGTCAGAATTTATTTTAAACTCAAAAAGAATTAGCGGCATGCAACAAAATGTGTTGTTTATATTGACGGCATGCTTTACACATGTTTTGCTTGCTTGACAATAGCTGCAATGTATAAATTACTTTGGAACATTGCAGAAAGAAAATGCTGTTAAAGTACAAATGTTTTCAAAATAAGTCTTAACCTTTTGTCTATAAGTTATAGGATTAAAATGCTTAGATTCCATTTTTTTTTTTTTTTTTAGATATTCATATGTAAGTTAGTTTTATCCAGCCTTGTTTTCCCTAAAATCACACTACCAGTCACAGTGTGTACAAAGTCAGTCAGTCAGGTGAGCTCCATAAGGAAGTCGCCGTAGTGTCCTGTTTATCTTTAATCAAATAGGCTCCGCCCATACAAGATCCTTAACAGGCTGGCTCATGATGTCACGGGATGCATTTTGAATTTGTTAGCAAATACACTACAGTCCTGCAGGGAAATGTGTTTCCTGACAGTCTACTGTAGAAGATCACTCAACTATGACTGCAAATAATATATGTGACCGGCCGTAATGTTCATGTAGATCACCCATCTGAAGCTTAAAGCCAAAATCCTCCCCAGATCAGCACTTTATGAGTTAAAATCTAGACAACCTGAATGTTATTCCAACTAGATTGATTCAGAGTTTCCTTCTCTTCATCTGCAGCCCTCGGCCAACTCTGAAGATATGAGAAATCACTGGTAGAGATTGAGACTCAAATGTGAAGCCAGACAGAGGATTAAACACCTCGCACAGATCCAACAGAGAGATGAGGCTCAATACCACCACAAACAATTTAGAAAATCAATTTTTTAAGATGCACTCAGTAAAATATTAAAATATAAACAACACTAAGAAGGCATAAGCAAAGTTCCAAGAGATATAGGATGACTTTTTCAGGGATTTTCAGGAACATTTGTTAATGTTAATATTCTAGCTTAAAATATATTAACAAACATGCACACACATACATGGGACATTCTATCAGAAACGTACACTATCTGTCTCTGAAAAAAAAGAGAAATACAGTAAATAAAAAGTATTTCATCCCAAAAATGTCTCAAATGGACAGATGATTGGTTTCTGTGGGTTGGTCTATAAAGGAATATGTCATTAAATTGGTTCCCAGATTTTTGTTCTTTATTAAAAACATGTTACAAATTTACAAACCCTGTCATTGTCCTTGTCCTCAGCCCAACTGAACATACAGCTTCAATATTTTTGTTATGCTAAAAACTGTTATTTACAAAAACAATCTTCAGAAACAGCAAAGTTTAAGTTGTTTTCATTCACACCAGCTGATTAAAAACATCAAATTATAAATAAATTCAACAAATAAATACTACAGATGTATAATACAGCTAAATTTACAATTGAAGAGTTCAGATGCAAAAACCTCTAAGCACCCTCTGATTTTTTTTTCTTGAAATAAGCATTTTCTTAGCCTGCTATGTATTCATTGAGTAATTTCTCTTTTAAGTCAATTAATGTTATTTTCATTGCCTTTAGTCTGAAATTAGTGAACATAAATATCGGAGTTTTTGAAAAATGCTCATTTTAGAAGAAAATTTTAGATGGCACTTAGAGGTTTTTCCATCTGAACTCTTCAATTATCCCCAAGTCTGTCCTGTCAATTTCGCATTAAATTTAACATCAAATGTGTGCATTACACCTTTAATGCTACAATTTAAAGAAAGTAACATCATTTGATGGAGATGACAGTGATTAAGGATGCATTCTATCTATTAATAGCAAGAAATGCCAAGATAAACTTATGAAAGCCATAGTACACTTGCTGTCAATTTTGTAGGTTAAATAATCTCTTAGTTATATAGTCATTCATTCATTCATTCATTCAATCATTCATTTTCTTTTCAGCGTTGTATCTTTATTATCAGGGGTCATTACAGCGGAATGAACTACCAACTTATGCAGCTACGGTTTACGCAGCAGATGCACTTCCAGCTGCAACCCAGCACTGGGAAACTCCCATATACACTCATTCACACAAATACACTACAGCCAATTTAGTTTATTCAATTCACCTACAGTATAGCGCATGTTTTTGGACTGTGAGGGAAACCGGAGCACCTAGAGGAAACCCACGCAAACACAGGGAGAACATGCAAACTCCACAAAGAAATGCAAACTAGCCCAACTGGGGCTCAAACCAGCGACCTTCTTGCTGTGAGCCGATTATGCTACCCAATGCACCACAGAGACACCTATATTGTCATTGTAAAGGTTTTCATATTGAAGTTGTGTTTTTATTATTTTCTGTATTTTTTTAGTTTTTGTTTATTTTTTGTTTATAGTTACGTTTGTATTAATTGGATGTCATTTTTAAATTGTAGATTTGCTGTTGTTTAAAATAAAAAAAATAAATAAAAAGGATTCTATAATTGATTTTGTCTGATTTTTTGAGTAGGACAAGCTTAAAGGTCAGGCCCTGTCACATTTTTTATAAGTAAAAATGTACGTTTCTGATAGAACGTCCTACATACATACTGTACATGCACACATATACATATATTAATATTATACACATATCGTCACCTTAGAATTATATGTTCTTTCTGACATTTTTGTCAAAAATGAGTTATTGACATATTCTTATTAAAAGACAACTTATTTACATTATGGGATGTTTTTTATAAGTTTTTCACATTTTAAGACTTTTTATTTAAAATAACAAATGTTACAACACATACTGTTTGCTTTGGAATGCAAAAACTTTAAAGCTCAATAACTCAAAATCATTCAGAACACAGATAGAACCTTTTAATTCCAAGGTGACGATATATTAATATATTAACCAAACCACATAACCCTAACTTTTACAATTTAAAAGCAGGTTTGACATAATTTTAGCAGAAATACTGAAGATTTTAATTTCATTATTTTAGCAGAAACTAGAACTATGAGGAATATTGTATCAGGATGAAAAAAATTTTGAACATTCTGCGATTAAAAGGTAGGCATGGGCCGGTATAATGTTCTAACAGTATGATAACCTTGGATAAAAAGATCATGGTTTCATGGTATTGTAATTATTGCTCTAAAATCTATTCTTTTTAATTGTCTGGGTAAAAAACAAAAACCTTTTTTCTGCTTTAAACACAATGACTGCATCCCGAATTACATACTTTCATACTATAGTACACTAAAAACAGCATGCGAGCTGAGTAGTATGTCCAAATTCAATTCGAAAAACAGTATGCGAGAAGTACCTGGATAACCTACTAGTTTCAGCAAGATTCTCAAGATCACATTCAATGGATGTTGCGCTATCCCATCATCCTCTGCGAAAAAATTCATGAATGGGAATGAAGCGGGTGTATCACGTGATGATCACAAAATGACATCTGTAGTACGTCCGAGCTCCTTGATACTACTCACATTCATATTGTAAAGAACATACTTTTTAAATTCGAATGCAGTACCTACTGAGTAGTAGGCGATTTTGGTTGCAGCCAATATATTTTATTTTGAAAAACATTTTAAATATTTTGTAGCAGTTTTTGTCAAGCTAAATAATTCAAACGAATCATTGACTTCTGCTGTCTTCATCAAAAACACTGATTTCTTTACAAGTTAAATCGGCATCTTTAAATAGCTTTTCTGCTTAAAATACTGTTGCCCTAAAAACAGTTTTAAAAAACGTAAAAAAAAATCGTACAAATAAATATCCTAGGAACAGTATAACAGAAACTTTTGGCAGTTTTAAAACCTTGCCTTTTCCAAACCACGATAGGCCTACCTTGAAAACGGTTATCGTCCCATGCCTAAAGGTAATAAAATAAAGCAACAAAAGTTTCGGTTTCTTGTACAATCTGAATGTTTTGCTTCATAGGACCTCAATGTACCATCAGAACCCACAAGTGATTATTTAGTTTTCTATATCCACTAACTCCCACTTTATGAATCACCATAAAGTTTTTCAGCATACTATCTACTTTAATTTCCTGATGAAAATGAAAAAGTCTCCACATCTTGGATGCCCTCAGGCTAACTAAATGAAAAGATCATTTTCATTTTTGTGTGAACTATCCCTTTAAAAACACCAAAGCTGTATCTAGACAGCATTCAGAGAAATTGCAGCGTTCACAGCCAACATCCGACATCCACCATAAACCCAAAGAGACATTTACACCTGTAGACTTTGTACTTGAATACCTGTCTTCAAACACAATGACTGCAGCTTACCTTTGATACCCCCTTCGTGCACAATTCCTAATATTCATTCTCTGCGGCTCAAGTGTGCTCACAACAATATTTAACCCGCTTGTGACCTGTAATTCACCTGCAGCACTACAGGATCGCATAAGGTATAATTACAATAAACACATCCACTTACTCAATAAAAAAACTCGCTCCTTCTTTCGTAAAACCTTCCTCCCAACCTGGGGGCAGATCTAGGAGGCAAGAAAAGAACACATTTGCCAAACTTTTAGCCTTTCGTTTTATCTATGCACAGGCAACGCGAAAAAAGCAGATAAATGTTTAAATCTAAATGGTTAAACGCACGCATTAACGCACTAACCGGATCGGATCATGTGTCCAGAATTGACAGGTTGACCAGTGCGGGGATGAAGCCAAGTAGTGGCGCGCGCTTCATCGCTGCCAGGAAAACAAACCACCTGTTAGCGATGCAATTGGCTGGAAAACACTCGAACGCTATGAGAAAGGAATGCTTTCTTAGGCAAGAGTAAATAAATATATCCTCACTCAATGAAAAAGACCCTGCCGTCTCTGCACACTCCATAAGAGCCGTTGTCAGGTAAGGTGTCCCGCCGGAGCGGCGCCGCCATTATTCCCGTGTAAAGTCCTGTCTACCTCATATTCCCTCCTCACTGTCCTCCCTGTGCAGCGATCAGCGCTCGGGCAAAAGGCGATTAAAGGGGAGGGCTGACTTTGCACTTGGCGTTCAGTGAGCGAGATTATTAGCCGACGGAAAAATATTAATTCCTTACAGTATGCTATAAAACACAGATCGAGATAGGCTAGTCGTTGCCCACTCGTTTGTATTTTTATATGACGTGTTTGTGTGCATGTTTTCGTTTTAGTGATTGATGATGCATTGAAATGAATTTGTTTATGTGTTTGATTCTGTTGAAGAACAGCCTGTTCTGTTGCTAGGTGCTTTATGAATGCATACAGTGCAACTATTGTTACACAAGTTAAAGGAGTTCACCTGAAAATAAAAATGTACTTGCTATTTACTCATGCATCATGCAGATGGTTCAAATGCTTTGATTTTTTTAATAAAAAAAAATACTTTTTTTTTACACAAAATAATGAGATATTTTCAAGAATGTTGGAAACCTGTTACCATCAACATTCATAGTAGGAAAAACAAATAGTACTGAAGTCAATGATTATACTCCAAAATTAAAAAAAAAATATATATATATGTTTTTGTGGTAGACATAAGAAAGAAACTCAAATACGTTTTAAAATGTGGAGGGTGAAAAAACGATGCCAGAATTTTCATTTTTAGCTGAATATTCCTCCTATATTTACACAGATGGAGATTTGTTAAAGATGATTCAAGTTGTGGCATTTAATTATTATTATTATTATTATTATTTGGTATGTTTTTAAATCATTAAAGAGGCATAAAATGGCTTGACTCATTAAATTACATTAAATATTTATGATCAATTCTGTTAATATTTTAATAATAAGTAATTATACATATATTATTATCGAATTGCACTTCAAACTTTGCTGCTTTATAGTTATAGTTAGTTACTTAGTTATTGTGGTTGGGTTTAACTATGATGCCTATATTTTAATTTGGAGATGTTTTGATTCATGTTTTATTATTTTCTGTATTATTATTATTATTATTTTATTTTATTTTATTTTTTTCAGGGCTTGACATACATTTTTTTTCATCACCAGCCACTGTGGCTGAGTTTTCCAACATTACTAGGCATTCATTATTTTCACTTGGAACAATTTTGTTGTTGGGAAATATATATTTGATATGCATAAATTTGACTTTGGCATGCTGAAATTACTTGATTTAAATTGTGTTATGTCCACATGCCTCCTTAACATTTTTTTACATGACTTTTTAGAGCTCAACACTAAGGATTAACCATTTTTCTTCTCTGATCAGACCAATCAAATTATTTCCTTGCCACAAATAACAAAAAAATGTGCCAAAACAAGCTAAATTTAGCTGTATACAGTACATACACTTTTTATTTAACAAAATTTTCTTAAAAAACAATTGACATTTAAAAAAATTATTATCATTTATCTAAAACTACACACAGTAGTTTGTTCAGGTCCCAGATCATCAGGTCATATAGATAAATGGAGAGTTATCTTCTATTAAAGTAATGTTATTGCAAAGGATGATAATTAAACCATAGTAACAAAAATAACTGTAAGCAAAAGAAAGCAGGTGAAAAACATTCTGTGTGTGATAATGAAAGGATGATCACGTGCACACATTAATGTTAGGCCCATTGATAATCTGTTCAAAGAATGGTAAAAGCGAAAGCGGCAACAGCTGCTGCATACAGTACAAAAAATATGGAGATGTCTTAAAAGCAGCAGGACTGTGGGTGCACCATTTTTTCCAATCTATTTCAAAGAGAAACAATCGCACCAGTTGCGTTTCCAGGCACAATTGTTTTGCGCAAGGAAACAAGAGCTTTTAAGCACTTCCGCACATCACATCAGCTGTTCCTCGCTTACTACATCAGTGAGCGAGGATCGCCTATTTGCCTGCGTCTCACCGTGCGCCTGATCATCCTCATTTGGTATTCACCTGCTTTCTTTTGTTCGCCTAAACAGTCATCAATCTATCTGCTTCTCAAATCTAAGAACACATTTGCACATATACTGACAAAGGGTCATAAACATTCTAATCTTTAGTGTCAATGCAGCAATGACAAATTAAAAACTATTTTCAGCCAGCCAAAGTGGCTAGTAGGGTGTCTGTCTAAACCGCCGCAGATGAAATCTACCCGCATTTGGTGGGTGTTAATGTCAAGGTCTTATTATTATTTTATTTTATTTTTATTTTATTAAATGGATAGTTTGCCCTAAAATAAAGATTTTGTCATCATTTACTCCACTTGTTCCAAACCTGTTTGAGTTTCTTTCTTCTGTTGCACTCCAGCTGATAATACTGGCATAGCCCCCCTCTAGAGTGTGTCCTCACTGCAGCCTGTAGCATGATGACATACTGGATCAGGTCCAATATGTAGTGGATGCACATGCGTGATCGCTTGTTGCTAGAAAAGAATTATTCATATTAATTATTAAATTACTTGTATTGCTAGTGGAGGCAGAACAGCGAGAGGAAGGTGAGGCAGGTCCATGAGGCACCAGCAGATCCGGGTCGAGGACAAGAGGCAAGTCTGAAGCTTGCAAGTCTGAGGCCCTGAAGCTTGAAGCTAAGGCAGATTTGGGAAAGTCAGATCTGGGTCAGGAGGCTCTGTTGAATCTGGAGTCACTGGTGGATCAGGAGTCTCTGGATCAGAAGGTTTTGGAGAATCTGGAAGCTCTGGCAGTGGCCATTTTTGGAGTTTAGGCTGCAATGACTATGACAGCTCTGGCAAAGATTGGCATTCTTGGGGGCAGTGGCATCAGTGGCTCTGGCAGCTTTGGTCCTGCAGGAAAAGCTCTGACAGGGGCACCAATTCTTATAGCTCAGGCAATGGCAATTCTTGATACTCTTCGAATAGAAACTATGACAGGTAAAGACTCAGGACAGGTAGCCATCTTGTGATCTGACGGTGGACTGGCAGCTGGTATTTTCGGAGGTGCCAGACTAGTAGGCACTAGAACTGTCGAATACCAGGATGCATTGGAGCTGCAGGCTGGCACTAGGGATGTGCTGAGGTAAAACAGGTGTTTCGACACAATGTCAAGATCCCGAACCGCAGATGTTTGAACACTGCTCTGAAACAATTTAAAACACCCAGGTCACGTGACTAAAGCAAATCAATGGATTGGTCATTTAACAAGCATTCCAAGCCCTGGCGAATCTGCATTTAATTGACAGGGTCGAAAACAAAACACATTACAAGAACAGAGTAATATAAAATAATTTTAAATGACTGTAATTGCTTCCTGGATTGAAACACTATTTGTCTGCATGCCAGTCAGGAACACTAACCACTCCACTAAATCATTTGATATCTCAACTATGCACTGTAGAGTATAAGTGCTCAATTCGCGTAACTGTTACTTTGTTAAATTTGTTTCAGAGCAATACTTAGAAAATGACCACTTGGTGTCATTGTAGAGTTGGGTTTCAAAGCATTTCGAAGCTTCGACACATATCCTTATGCTTTATTCACACCAGATCCGAAACGCGCAAATAAATTGCACTATTCACGCGTAAATAGACGCGTGACCATTTTGAGTTTACTCACTTCATTCACACATCAAATCGGCTTCATTAGCGTGTCAAATTCATTTCACAACAGACGTGGATTTGCGTCATAGGTGGGGCTTCTGTCTGCCCGGTGATTCTAGCTTCGTTGCTAAATGACTAACATGGATTTAATTGAGAGAATAGCTGTTTATGTGCTTTAGGAAGGCTGATAAACAGCGTAGATTCGTTTGGAGCCGTGCCTGAATCCACTAGATTCATTCAGAGGTGCACCCAGCTCTGTGAGTTCATAAACTCCTCCAGAAACTATACCTGGATGATTGAAGCGCTCAACTTGCTCAATTTGCTCCTCCTCATTCGTGCGTATTGCGTTGCAGGATGTCTATTCATGTCTTTGCATTAGCTTAACATGTAGATCACTCACGCTTGATGCTTTATATGTGTCTGGTGTGAACGCAGCATTAGAGTATTTGAGTGTTTCACGAATCCTCGCTCTGCCCACCACTAACTGGCAGTGCGTCTAGGCATGCTGACCTGGATGCACTGAAGCCGCAGTGGGCCTGAATCCTGGAGCAGCCACAATGAGAGAGTAAATTACGGGCCATTTTAGTCAGTAATCAGCAGGTGTCAGTATAATGATTAGATTATGTCCAGATTATGAGTATAGTGTGCATGTAATGAGAACAAAGTAGTGTGGGAGGTGTAGTCCAGGTGGTAGTTGAGATGAGATAGTCGAAGTGCCATAGTGGGTCTAGGCACTCCAGCTGAGAATTGGGATTCTTACATGGTATTTTGTATTAATGTTCTATAGCTGCATTTTTATCAGTATTCTTCATAAGACCTTGATTTGGGTTCAGCAGTAGAAAGAAATTCATAAATGTTTACAACCCATTAAGTGTGAGTAAACAATGAGGAAATGTTCATTTTTGGGTGAACTATTAACCAGTTTACGTATTTTCACTTACCAACTGCAAAAATTAAATGCTTGGCTGAGTGACTCATTCTAACTAACAAGTTGCTAAGATCTGTTAGGTTTTTACTTGTACAGCAGTCCTATTTTTTGAGGACTGCTGAATGTGTCCTAGAAGAGTTCAACCTAAAAGGTTCACCCACTTTTTCATATGGTTGTATTGTGACATCTAGAGGCATGGCAGTGTAATGCAACGGTTTCACACTATCATAAATGTGCTCATGAATACGCATGATTAAATTATTGAGGTGAAAACTAGACGCATCTTTGCTGATGTTTGTGTCTTATCCTGTTGTTTTGACAAATAGTAGAAATTCTAAAGACCATGCATGAAGTTTTGGGATTTGATCATTTTGTCCATTTCCTCAGCCTACAGTATGTTTATGTTTTTACCACAGCATCCATCTTTTGTTGACTGTCGTCTGCTAGCTAAAATTGTAGGCTGTCACAAAATTGAAATCACCGTAAGCTAGTTTCTTGACAATAATAAGTGCACCCCGTGTGTT